TGCATCCCATCGGTCACTCTCCGACATCGTCTCTGCAACAGTGTAGATACCTCTGGAGTTTGTAAATGCCTGGTAGTTTAGAACTTCTCCTGATCTTGTTATGCACAGAACAGCTACTTCAGCACCTGAAAATACCACAGTATTTATACCTCAACTAAACTATCCGAAATGCAACAATGGCAAGAAGAAGAAGATGATGATGAAGATTCATTTCATTTTGTCCCCAAAAAAGATTCCAACACTCAAATTCAACATTTTCTCTGTGGTAATAATATTCAGTTTTATCGACACGGTTAATGCGAAACAAGACAATGAATTGTATGCTCTATTCATTCTTAGTTCTTATCGTATAAACATAACATAGATTCAAATTTCGAGGTTAAAGAACAACTCAGTCATCAGTATCACAAGATGGGAGTTGATTGCTGCAATAGCTAGGACAAACAAAGAAATCGACACTGAGCGTTATCCATCAGAAGGCAATAACGTTCACTTCAATTATCCAACCCAAATGTTCGAATTAAAAGAAGGAATCAAGTTACAAACACAATAAACAGGCGAAGAACTCTTTCCTACAAACTGTAACATAAACGACCTCATTAATCTATTATCTCATAGTTGTGACCAAAGTTATCAAGGTTTTATGAAACATTACTTTGATCTTTCACAAATTCTGAAGAGATTCATCTCTATCAAAAAAGCACACCATTTCTAAGCATTTCCAAAACTAATAAAAAAGAAGGGGCAAGAACTACCAATTTGGCAAAATGGAAAATCCCATGAAAGGCAGTAACCATATGCAATTCATGGCAATCAATCCAGTGGTTGAGGAGACCAGTGGTACTAGCAGAGGGATCAAGCCAGTGGTTGAGACCAGTGGTACTAGCAGAGGGATCAAGCCTAGGTTGAGACCATGGTATGGTTCAGTATTTCTTTTAGACATGACATGTGTATGCATTGGCTACCAATAAGAAACCCTAGGTTAATTTTCCATCATTGTAGATTCTTTTCATCTGGCAGAGGTTTTTCTGTAAAGAGTTTTCTAGGTAAAATCACATATATATTTTCCATTATTTTCCTATATTACTGCTTGCAGAGAATTCAGCATCTTTCATTCAGCCAATTCATATACAAAAACACCAAAAAGGAAGGCCAACTCATTCATTACATAAACAGTTTTACTTGATTTCATTGGCAAACTAAGTTAAACCATTCACAATGCACATAATTCTCCCTTAATTTCTTAACAGTACTTGTATCAGCAGAATCCAGTTAATTCATGGCCAAAAGCAACAATATCAAATGAAATCCCCCGAAAATGGCCGACTCACTAAGAACAAAAACCAAAAGCAGGAAAATCTAGTCGAGGATTTCCCTCCCAGAAACGAAATCTCAAAAGAGAAACAGGAAAGCTTGAAACGAGGAGACAAACCTTGGAGAACATGGTCTTCTGGGCCAATGGAAGAATCGCTACAGACATCGCAGATAACTCGGCCATGGATTTCCCCGGTCCAGGCTCTCGAACCCGAAAAGAAGATGGTGAGAATAATCATGCCCATCAATAGCTTCTTCCTCTGCGATTCCATGGACCTGGCTAGGGGGCTTCAATGTCTTCTTCAGCTCCAAATTTTGTTCTGTCTGCACTGATCAGGAGAAATGTGTCGGTAGCAGCATTTACAAATTAGAGTGTTTCTAGGAATATATGGGTTTGATTTCCTAAAGCTTCAAAATTGCCATTTCGAATTTAAAAATTAGATTTAAAAAGTCTAAATTACTTCTTATTATTATTATTATTATTCAATTTTCTTTTTAATAAAAATAAAATTTTCGTTCATACTTTTAAAAATTTACTCAATTTCAATATATACTTTTAAAAATTACATTCTAAATAATTAAAATTCAATTTTTTAAAATTATTAAATAATAAATAATTATAAAATAAATAAACATAAACAAAAATGTAGTTTTTAAAATTACAATAAATTTGGACGATCTAATTTGAGATAAATTTATAAATGAACATAAAGTTTTCATTTATCTAACCGGCCCAATAGTAATCGGATCCAATTCTTCAGTTTTATGAACCCCAGGCTCTTTATCTTATAAATTGATGTAGCTTCTTTACATTGAAAGTATTTTCGCCAGAGAACTAATCCTTCCTTTTACCCTAATTTCACCATCATCACCGCCGGATCTTCTTTCAAGAAGATGGCTTCGGTAAACCAAGAATTTCCTCCAAGATGCAAGGTCATTGAATCTGAGAGTCTAACGGGGAATGAGAAGAGTTTTCGATATTTAGTGGAAGTAACATCGGTGGAACTTGAACATCGGATTAGTCGATTGGAGCGTCTGTTTGCTGAGCGTGAGCGATTACGAGCAGCGAGATATTGCGACTCGTCTCATCAAGGGCAAAATCAATTCGCGGAAGAAAACTGTGACAGTTGTTGAGGTTTTCCTCTGCTTTAATTCACTTTTCTTTTTTCTATTCGATCACTCTTATTTTTTTCTATTGAATGAATTGTTTGTTGTTCAAGTTAGTTAATATTTGTAATTAGGTTCTTTTTCTTCTATTTGTATATGATAGAATTATTCTTTGAACTCATTGAGTTTAGTTAATGAGAATTCGAAACTCATTTCTTTTAATTGATTTGTGTGGATGAATTGATTCTAAACAATGTTTCATAACTTCTCGCATATAATCGCTTATAATCTGTTGAGTTACTCTCTTGGAGATCTAACAAGTTCCGTAAATAAAATTAAATAATTTAGATAGTTTTTTTTTTTCTTATTAATTCAAATTATTCAAATAATTTTAATCAATTAAATTTTGATTTAATTATGCTTTAAATTTTAGGGTTTTTTTTATTAATAATAAATTTAACTTCACATACTAAAAAAAAATTATTCAAATAATTTTAATCAATCAAATTTTGATTTAATTATGCTTTAAATTTTAGGGTTTTTTTAATTAATAATAAATTTAATTTCACATACTAAAAAAAAATTATTCATATAATTTTAATCAATCAAATTTTGATTTAATTATGCTTTAAATTTTAGGGTTTTTTTTTATTAATAATAAATTTAATTTCACATACTTAAAAAAAATTGAATTCATTAATATTTATAATAAATGTGATTGAAAATTCAATTTTTATTAGGATACAAACTACAACTACTCTTAAAAATAAGTGAAAATATTTTACTAACCAAATCATAAAATATACTAAATATATTATTAACTAAATCAATTTTGAAATCAAATATACCATTAACCAAATTTTAAATATTAACTAAATCAATTTTAAAAATAAAATAAAATATACTATTTAACTAAATTATATATCAAATATATTCTTAATTAAATCAATTTTAAAAATGAGATAGAATATGCTATTAACCAAATCATATATCAAATATCTTCTTAATTAAATCAATTTTGAAAATGAGATATAATTACCTTATATCAAATATATCTTAAAAACTATACTATTAGCTAAATCAATCTTATATCAAATATATCTGAAAAATATACTATTAACTAAATCAATCTTATATCAAGTATACTAAATCCATCTTATATCAAATATACTGAAAAATATACTATTAACTAAATTAGAAATTCAATCTATTAACTAAATCAATCTTATATCAAATATACTATAATTAATCTATTAACTAAATCAACGTTATATCAAATATACTATAATTAATCTATTAACTAAATCAACGTTATATCAAATATACTATAATTAATCTATTGACTAAATCAACCTTATATCGAATATACTATAATTAATCTATTGACTAAATCAACCTTATATCGAATATACTATAATTAATCTATTAACGATACTATTAATCAGATTATTCATCACCTTTAAATAGGATAAAATTATAACTAACTCCTAAAAATAATAGAAAATATTCTACTAACTAAATATAGTATAAGTTACAAAGTCACTCTTAAAAAAATAGAAAATATTCTACTAATTAAATATGAAAATAAAATAAAATATATTAAATATATTATTAACCATAGAAAAAAAATCCAAATTCTATAAAATATATTCCAACAATATCCTGAAATTCCAAATTCAAACATATCATTTTTAATTTAATATTTTTTGTCATAAGTTTTTTTAGTATGAATTTAATATTTAATCACATATTAATCTCAATATAAATCTAAATGTAGTTTAAAATGAGGCAAGTGGACACAGCTAGGAGAGAGGCTGATTATTATGCCGTATTTGTTGATAATAGGAAGAGACTGTATTTGTTGATAATAGTAAGAGACAAGTCTCGATTAAGTTCAAGTCCAAGATATCTGTCCATGAAGCGTTTAAAATGAGACAAGTGGACACAATGAGGAGAGAGGCTGATTATTATGCCGTATTTGTTGATAATAGTAAGAGACAAGTCTGGATTAAGTTCAAGTCCAAGATGTTTGTCCATGAAGCACGGCCTACGGAACGACTGACAAGACTTAAGAAGGCATCCTGATTGGGAGTGAATATTTCGCACGACCTACGGAATGACCGACAAGACTTAAGAACAAGCATGAGAGTGATGCACTTTGTCTTCCCAATCTCTTGCTTCTAAAAATTGCCCTCTCAATTAGATGTTGGTCCAGTCTACTAAGCTGAGCTCCAAGGCTTCACACGGAGCTACTCTCTTATGTTATGGTTTTTTTTAATCTTTTAAAATTCTCAATTTGTTAAAAATTTGTTAAAAATTCTCGGCTAGAACCTTCCATACAAATATTTATTAAATTTAATTTATTATATTAACGAATAATTTATATTTTATACCAACTTATGCGGCAAGCCAAAAGTTGGGAATGTTGGACAGACGCGCGATGAAAACGGCTACTTCGGCTCAACAAGCTTTCCGGAAATGGTGTCTCCTAAACATAGCGAATTTGACCCATTCTGCCTGGAATCAAAACTTGGGGGTTTGGGACTGGAAGAAACAAGAAAAACAAACATCAGCTCCTTTTTCCCGATCGAGAGAGACCAGAAAAGCGAAAACCATCTGGTTTTTTTCCGGGAAATAGCTGGTTTTCTTTTCCTTTCACGTTTATCTCCTCTGTCGGATCCCTTTACAAATTCTTCTTTAATTTTCCTTTTTCTTTTTGGCTTTGTTTGTGGGGTTGACGCTGAAGAGAGCAATTTCCCTTTGTTATTTGCTGATTTTGTTTCATCCCCCACACTCTTTTCTGGTTTTCTGTTATTATGTGCTTTGATTTTCTGGGATTTGTTCAATGCAACTTCTTGACTGTTGTTTGTGACTGACTGCATTTGAGTTGGGGACTTAACAAAAAGGAAGATGAATTGCTTTCAATGTTGCTTGACAGACAAGAAAGTCGATAGAAAATCTCTGAAAAAGAGCATTAAGGAGTATCAGGACACAAAAGCTCTAACCTCTTTTGCCAACATTTCCTTTAAATCTGGTAACCCTTTTGTTCCTTTGCTCCCTTCATCCCAATTTTTTTTACTTTTTTTCATGTTTTTCATATGGCTTGAGGCATTTTGGTGGTGCTTTCTTGGTTGTTTATAATCCTCGATCATATGTGTCATTTGAAAAACTTGGCTGTTGCAGATAGCAGTCGACGAAGGTACATAACTGAGGAGATAAAGAAGTTAGGAAAAGGAAACATCACAGCTCAAACGTTTACATTTGGTGATCTAACCACTGCTACTAATAACTTCGACCATGAAAATCTATTGGGGGAAGGTGGTTTTGGAAGGGTGTACAAAGGCATCCTTGAAAGCACAAAACAAGTATATAATGACACAATCCTTGATTTCATATGTTCCTTCTGTGCAAATTATAAGTGTTCTTGAGTTCTCTATTCATTTTTGTTTCCGTTTTCATCTCGTCTTCCTTAGGTAACAGCTGTGAAGCAACTCGACCGAAATGGATTTCAAGGAAACAGAGAATTCCTTGTAGAGGTTTTGATGTTGAGCCTTCTTCACCATCCCAATCTTGTGAATTTGATTGGGTATTGTGCTGATGGGGATCAGAGGATCTTGGTTTATGAGTACATGGCTCACGGCTCCTTGGAAGATCATCTTCTTGGTATGTCTTAACAATTCCAAATGTTACTGAATTTATATTAGAAATTCTGTTGTTCGTAGATCTAGCAATCTTCCATGATTTACAACAGCCTTTACATATTCTTTTTTCATGTAAATGTTTCATTGATCCGTTGAAATGCCAAAGAAGCTCGATCTTTAGCTTGTCACAACCAAATTTCTTATACTAGCTTCTAAGGTTGGAGCCTCCTATTTTCAGATCTAGCGCCGGATAAGACGCCTCTGGACTGGAAGACGAGGATGAAAATTGCTGAAGGAGCAGCGAAAGGACTTGAATACTTACACGAAACTGCGAATCCTCCTGTGATATATCGCGATTTCAAAGCTTCGAACATATTGTTGGATGATGAATTCAATCCAAAGCTTTCTGATTTTGGTCTTGCAAAGTTAGGTCCTACTGGGGATAAATCTCATGTTTCCACTAGAGTGATGGGAACCTATGGTTATTGTGCTCCTGAATACGCACTCACAGGACAGTTAACAACGAAATCAGATGTTTACAGTTTTGGTGTCGTGTTTCTGGAAATAATAACTGGAAGACGAGTTATAGACAACGCGCGACCAACAGCAGAGCAAAACTTAATCACTTGGGTATGCTGAATAATCTTAATAATCTGTTAAGAGTAAAAACTTGTTAATTCTCAACCATGTTTACTTCATTACAGGCACAGCCTCTTTTCAAGGACAGAAGGAAATTTACACTCATGGCAGATCCAAAGCTAGAAGGAAACTATCCAGTGAAGGCTCTGTATCAAGCTCTGGCAGTGGCAGCCATGTGTTTACAAGAGGAAGCGGGTACACGGCCATTGATCAGTGATGTGGTTACAGCTATCGAATTTTTAGCTGCAGATAAGGATACCGATGCAGACGTAGATGACGAAGAGCCAGGTTTGATATCGGGAGCAGGTTTGGGTTCAGATTCTCCTGATAGAAGTAGTAGTAATGGTGATAAAAATGTTGATGTTGAGGGTGAGTGATGGGAGGTGATTTACAATTTGATTGACTAAAGGGAGAAGACATTTGGAGCTTTGGCAACTGTAACTGGGGCAGCTTGGCTCCCCATTTCCTTCATTCTTTTGAATATTTTCCAGTATGACAAGGCCATTTAAGGATATTGGAGTATTGTTCAAAATCAAATTATAATATGCACTGAGAAGTATACAAAAAAAAATATGATAGAAAATATTTTTATTATTTTGGTCTCAACCGGGATGCAAGTCAGACACCGAACGATGGACCCCAAAAAGAGGTGGATTGTGGGAACGAGTACCAGCAAAGACGCTGGGTGGGCCCTAAAGAGGATGGATTGTAAGATCCCACGTCGATGAATCATAAGATCTGAAAATAACATAAAAATTGAATTTATAGACGAAGAGTGATCCCATTACATAATCATCGTACCCTTGGAGAATTAAGTTACACAGACAACTCTTCAAACAAAAAAAAAAAAAACATCCAAGAAGCCAAAAACCTTGCTATACACAGAAGCAGGAGCCTACTACTAGACATGTAAATTACAGAATCCCCCCAGAGATGAGGAATCATAATGCATTCCTCACAAGCCAGCCCATTTGGCTAAACTATTATCATCACCAGCATTATCATCATCAAGGGTGGGTGAAAATTTCATATCAGCCATCATAAACAAAATCTTCACAAGGAATCAGGACTTGAACTGAAGGAAAATGGTTGCTTGATGTTTGTTAGTTTAGGTGGAATTTTGTTTGGCAAGATCTATTTGGCAGAGTACCAGTTTCGCGCACACTTGGCATCCACGGCAAGGTCAACGTTGAGAATGTTCTTTCCGTTGAAGGGTTTCGACATGCACTCGACGACAATGGCCTTAGCAACCTCTGCAGACTCGGTCGGTCCTTCCAAGATCACTTCATCGTGAACCTAACTTACAAGAGAAGTGTTAATTCATGTAAGCATTCTGAGATTAGTATAGAAAAAATGGATAATTGAAAACGAAAGCAGAAGATCAGAAGAGCCTTTTGAAAACAGTATCCCAAACAAGCCTTAGCAATAGGAAAGGTAACAGCAGGTAGCAACCAAATTGTAAGAACATGATGGTGATGAATGATGACCTGCAAAAGCAATCTCCATCCAAGTTCCCTCAAACGTGAATTGTTAGATATTTCCAACATGGCACACATGGCAACATCGGCAGCACTACCCTGTGACAGACCAACATTTGTGAACTGGATATAACATTGGAGATTGGGATAAGAAAAGGCCAAGAAAAAACGTTAATGAACAAACCTGCACGGGAGTATTGATAGCAGCTCTTTCTATATGCCCTTTATGGGCACGAGTAGCATGCGTCATTGATGGAAAGCGACGTGCTCGTCCCAGCAATGTACGAACACATGATTTCTCCTCAGCTTCTCTCTTTCGAAGATTTTGCCAAGTACGAACCTCTTTTCTTTCATTATACCACAAGTCAACCGTCTGCTTTGCTTCCTCCACCGTAACCTGGATGATGCAGTAACACCTCCTAATTAGCAACTAAACGATGCTTGGAATGAAATTTATTTTTAGGAAGTACCTTCCAATCTTTGGAAAGGCCAACAGGAGTCTTCCCATATGCAATGGAAAAATTGAGCATTTTGGCTTTCCTTCTTTCAGAACCAAATGCATCCTGCAGAAGAGAGAGAATGTTCACATAAAAGAAATTGAAAAACAAGAAAGAATTGCCTCTTTGACAAGAATAGACAAAAGAACGAGAAACTGCCACATCTTAAAATGCAAATATAATGGCAGGCAAAGAATGCAAGTAAACAAATATAAAAATGATACACAAAATGTGTATTACACTATACACTATGCAAAAGCTAAAGGAAATCCCAATTGACCTTATTACCAGAATAAGATTCAATCAGCAATAAAAGAAGGGTTAAAATCACATGTATCACATAAAATAAAATCAAATTGGATGCAAGAAAGTCAGTTGAAGGGAGAACACCCAAAATCCATAATGGGCATAAAGTTGATGGACACAGAATGCAAGGGCTTGGTTGTGTCCTTAGGTGGTAAGGAAATTGCCTATGCTTCCCACCAATTAAAGACGTATGAGTGCAACTACCCAACCCACGATTTAGAACTGGCAGCAAAGGTTTTGGACCTTAAGATTTGGAGACATTATATGTATCGGAAAAGAATCCAAATTTTCACAGACTATAAGAGCCTGAAATATTTCTTCATGCAGTAGGAGCTCAGGCATCGCAGGTGAAAGGAATTAGTTTAAGATTATGAGGTGGAGATACTATATCACCCGAGTTAGGCGAATGTAGTGGCAGATGCTTGAGCAAGAAAACAGCTCTCACATCAGCACTGCTTACTAACAGGTTCATATACGTACAAATTTGTGACGTATTGAGATAACAGTGGTAGCAAGAGATGTGACACAGTTGGCTCGGTTGTCAATTTAGCCGATGCAAAGACAGAAGATTATAGATTCCCAGCGGAGATGGATTCTCATTTGACTGTGATTTGGCACTATCGATTGGGTTAGTTGGAGAATATTTTCAAATCCATCTCAAATTTCGGGTTGGTTAGATAATGAACTATATAGGATTCACAACTCTACCCAACCCAACCAAACTCTATTTTTGGGTTAGGTTGAGTACTTATTCACCATGTCACATTAATAACTAAACTATCATAAAACTCAAATATTAAACATTTTCAAGTCATAACGTATCACTAACAAAAGAATTCAAAAGATATTTCTTATCCAAGGACCTTCTCAAGTCAATTGACACACTACATCAGCGTGCGAGTGGATCCTTGCATGCACATGCGTTTTTTTAGAAATATTGATGTAATCTTTCAAATTTCATTGTTAAAGATAAGGCATTTCCATTTCCTATGATTACTAAGATACTAGAGAAATATATACTGGCTTGTACTGCTTTGAAAAGCCTACAACTCCAATAAAATTAATCATATCTGCTCACATTTTCTTATAACTTGAACAATTTCAACAAGAATAGAGTTTACCTTCAACAATGGAACTGGAGGCTTATCTTCCCCTGGTTGAGGATCCCACTCAAGAAGCACGCTTCCATCTTCAACAGCTTTACGAATATGAGGGTACATATTCATCGCGGTCCTTGAATGGAAATCTCCCCCAGCTTTAAAGGCTTCCAGCATGCTCTTACAATTGGCAAGATGAGCAAGAATCCTAAGTTCCAACTGCCAAATAAATTTACATTTCAATCAATAATGTTTTCTTTTATAGATAAGAAGAGATGAAGTTGAAGCAAAGAGGACACAAAACGAAAACAGGGGAACATGGGGCAAAGCTAAATTATACACCACATAAAGAAATCACCTGCCATCAATGAAAAAATTACCTGGCCATAATCAGCAACAATGAGGGAATTTCCAGGGGCAGCTATAAATGCCTGACGGATTTTGTACCGGTCCTTTTCCAGAGCCGGTTGATTCTAGTACAGAAAAAAAGAACTCCAACCTAAGCCTCCATTATAATCATAGTTTGGAAAAAAATATGAACATAAAGTTCACTTTTAACTGAGATGATAAACACACTCGCACACAAAAAACGCAAAATAATCAATGCAAGTAAAGTTGAGACAAGTTAACTATGAACCTGCAAATTTGGTCTTCGAGCTGAGAGGCGGCCAGTTTCTGTGTTGATATTTAGAGAACAATGTATGCGTCCATTCTTTCCAGATATATTGCTTCCCTGTGATAGTAACAACAGCCAATTTGAACATAAGTAAAAAATCATGCCAAGAATTTGAAGCCTTAACATTTGAAAATCATGTGTTCATCAGAGAGAGAGAGAGACTCCATGCTTCCAAAGATTTATGTTCATCAATCAATATCAACATTAAATCAAGTTAAGCAGTATGCAATGAATTAATTCCTTCTTAAACCTACAAGCACATATAAAAGTCATAATTGGCAAACAAATTTATTTACACCTAGCTTATAAGCAACTCGAAACAGGGTAAAAATTAGCTAAAGTTCCAATAGTTATAGTATCTCTTTCGAAAGGATGTTATTAATGGGCCTAAATGGGGACTTGGCAGAAGAATTTCACCTGCAAGGGAAGGATGAAATTTGATATCAAAGAATCAATGGAGCAGACTTCGCATAAAGCAGCAATGGCATGACAGGCTTCCCTGCCCTTCTCACTTGATCCAAATGCTTTAAGAGCAGCTCCATAATCAGACATATTTGCACTTTCATGAATAATATGCTTTTTATTTTCTTCATGAGACGTTGTCTCAGAATCATCGCCAAACTCATTGTCAGACTGCAAGTCATCAGTGAAGTAATCGTACTCTGCAGAGACCTTGCCCGCTAAGACCTTTAGAGCATCCCCACTCACTGACGGCCAACCAGTTGCTGTGTACATTTCTGTTGAAAGATCCTCCACACTAATTCTTTTTAAATTAATATTCCGAAACTTACTGGGAGTTTTCTTCCCTTCTTCAATGACATTTTCAGTGTTAGGAACTTTGAATGTCCTTTCAGTTGGAAGAGACTCATCGGGGTTTTTACTGTCCAATAAAAAAATAAGGATTTAAAAAAAAAATCAGTAAGTTTGGAGCCAAAGGATCAGAAACATGCCTATTATCAAAAGAGGTAAGTTAGGTAACAGTATAAAATTATGTAATAAAGAGCTTAACAACTTGCATATGTCCAAGTCCATTGATAGTAGGTAAGTCATAATTTCATACATGATATCTGATTACGACCAACTAATGGATTTTACGTTTTAAAAAATAACAAAAATATTTTGAGAAAATAGAAAAATAACCTGTTAGAAGTACCACCGAAGAGCAGTTGGCGCAATTGTGCATCACTTCCTACATTCATATGTCTGGCATCAGGGCAGTACTTCGAAGCCCAGTTACGAAATCTGTTAGCGGCAACCTGTTGTTCTGCTATGGCCAACTTTTCTATCTTAGCAAGATATGGCCTATCAACCAGCATTCCCTCAGTTTCCATTTTGACAAGAAGTTCACCAAATGGTTGCCAATATTCTTCATAAAAGTTGAACATTGTTTTATTTGGAATCATTTCTCCATTTCTCTCCCAAGGCATGTCAGACAGTTTATTTTTCAAGCTCTCATAAAG